TACACTTTTGCCGGACAAGATGGGCCATGCAGCATAAGGCGAACTAGCATTTTTATCAAAGCTTTTTCGATATCATTGAAGCCCTAGACTCAGCCGACTTCGGCTGGGCCACTGCTAAGGCCAGAAGTGGTGGTCACTTTATGGAGGAACCTCATAGGTAGGCTATCTTTGCCTTCTATGAAGAGACAGACAGTTACAACCATGCCTTCTCCGGAATTCGAACCCAGGCGTTTTGATATCGCAGTCGGTTCTTCTAACCACTTTACTGTCCGGGCGGCGGCGTGAAAATGTACAAAAGAGTTTTGAGAGTATTTTTGATCATGCTGTGGAAATGTGTGAAAAGATTACATGTAGAGCTTACGCATCATTCGAAAGCAAGTCTATTGAAATTGTGCTCATTGTGATTCTGTGTTTAATTACTGCAAAACTATATTTTAACAATCCTTTAACTTGACCAGCTAAGTTTCCCTTCAAAATCTCAATTTTCAAATTTGGAAAAGACATCATTATTCTTGTTTTGCATAATACCATCAGTTTACGCTGATCGCATGTAAATGAAATTGGTGTCAGTGAGTTGAAGGTGACATATAAAGATGATTTACCCTATCCGGAAATTCTTAAAGAAAAGAGATGAGACGTTGGCGACGACATTTTATGTCTATTCCCAAAGCAAAGCTCCCAGACACTTCAGCTTTGGCTTTAAAAGCTTCGAATAAAAACTTTTTTTCCACATATTGATGTGCTTTTGCACAGAGCAGCTACACTGCCGATAACATCTTGCGAATGTGAGCATTCTGTAAGTGCTTTGAAAAGGTTACAAAATTATAATCGAGATACTTATGACGGAAGAGCGCAGAAGTTCTTTGGAATTAACGCGTATTCATTATATCAATGAAATATCAGTTGAGAAGGTTATTGATATATTTGCCAGTTTACAGCTACGAAAAATGAAATTCAGGAATATTTTATTTGCCCAACCAAAATAAAAGGCCAGAAACACTTTTTGCTTCCCCCTTTTTATTTGCAATTTAATTTTATGTCCAAAATAAATGATGCACTTACAACGTTTATGTATTTATTCCAATATCTTTATTATGTAATTATACAGAATAGAAATATCGATTTTATATACTATTTATCTATCTTTATAGGCGTATTATGAAAAAGTAACATGAATTTCAAAAATTTTTTAGCATTTCTTTGTATGTATATGAGTGTGTACGCCAGAAATGAAAGTAAAATACTAGAAGTACTTTTACTAGCATTATTCTATTTTTGTTATTTATTATTTCTTTTACTATGATTTTTAAAATTGTTTTAATGAAAGTTAAAGCGGTTAAGGTGAAAAACAAAAATACTGAGTTATGCATTTAATATGTTTATAAGGTAATAATGGTAAATACGATAACTAAATGCATTACATCCATAATTATGTTACATTATTTTATTATTAATAAAATTTATAATTATTATTTATATTAAGATGACTGTCATTAATATAATATATTTGTCACGTAATAATTACCCATATACTTGAAGATACTGTAATAGATAAAACAGTATAGCCATAGGAGTCGTAGCGGGCACCCCTCCCCCGTATTTTGAGCTGGCTACGCCCATGCATTGTTCCATGTAATATGGACAAGATAATAACAACAACACGGAATTCGACCTTACCTTTTTCCACCAATGCATTTCCTCAACTGTAATCGAAAAGTTAAAAATAGAAAAGCTAAAATGGTACAAGTTCTGATGTTCTCATCCAGACCACCTGTAAAAAGAGGAAAAGCCTAAAATGGCACAATTTTTCTTGCCACCTCTAGAAAGTCTAAACTGGGAAAGCCCGAAATGGGACATTCGCGGAATCATCAGGATAAAAAGGGAACAGCAGTAAAAACAATTTTAAGAAATATTTAGCTCTACAGATGTTTTTAACTGCTGTCTGCTTTAATTAATTAAAGATCCTGTAAAACAGAAATGAGCATAAGAAGTATATTTAAGTTATATGTTATTAAAAAAATAACTTGGGCACAAATTAATTGCTAAATAATATTACATGTTCAAACAAAGCTAATACAATATTTACGACAAAATATTTATTTCTCAATAAAACAGAGCAATAATACATAAATAAGTAATTATTTATAATTATTGTAATATACACTGCGAATTCCACACTTAACAAGCGTTACTTAAATCAAGCAACATTTTTAAATATTCAGGATACATTACAATTTGTTTCAAAGTTCAAGCTACTATTAGATTTTTTTAGACCTTAAATACATATCTTTGTATATCATTTAAATTAAAAAACATTCTTAAATATTCAAAATATAATACAATTTATTTGTTTTGAAAATGTAATATTTGTATGATATTTTTCAAACAAATTGAATGCAAGTTTTTTTAACCAATTAGATTAAGGAACATCTTTAAGATATATTAAAATCTGTTCTAAAATTTAATTTGAGATTTTTTTGGACGAATTAAATGTGTATATTATTCATCGCTTAAATTAAGAAACATTTTTAAATATTCAAAATGTGTTGCAATTTATTTGTTTTCGGAATGTAAGTTTTGTGAGCTATTTTTTTTAAATATATATGCTTATCACTTCAATATATGCTCATCACCTATGAATAATTCTCAAGTATTGTATTCTTAAGTATTGATGTTGAAATTTGTTTGCTTCAAAATTTAAAGTTTTTTGAGAAAATTACCTTATTTCTTCAAATTTAAGCCTTAGTAAGATTTTAAACGAAAAACGGGGAAAATAATAAAAAATAGCCACGCTATAATTTAAATCCAGTCAATCTAGAAAATACGAAAAGTGATAAAAAAAAAGTAAAAATAATTTCATAATAGGTTTTGAAAATAAGAAAAGTTTATATTTTTTAAGTAGGTACTGCATAACAGTTACTGAGGAATAAGAAAAGTTTTTATTTTCCAAAATAGGTACTAATATACCTATTTAAGTATCAAATTTATTGAGAAATAAGATGCAACATTTGCTTTGAATTTAAGCTGCATCCTAACTTTATATTTTTATATGTTATAATTATATGTGTCTTAAAAATTAAAAATTTGACTAAAAGGGGCAGCTTAAATTTGAAGTAATACGTTAAACATTGAATTTTCATTATTTTAAATCCTTTTGAAAATACCTTAAAACATTCAACTGTTCAATCTGTTGTGGTGTTATTCATGAGGTTAAATTGTATATATGTATACAAACAGGATTTTTACAGCTGTAATTCACCGTTTGTCAAAATGATTCAGAACATTTTCATTCTTCAGTCAGCGTAATAAAAATGTCTTGTTATTCTTTCCATTTGTAGTACATTACTTTTTTAAAACATGTATATATTACCGGCTATATATGAAATTCTATAGAAAACTTAGGTTTTTATGTCGAAAACTGGCCGGCAATTCATGAAACGATTAATATTTCACACATGCCATATGAGAAACCGGCAAAATATGAAATACATCTCCTATTCGTTTCGAATATCATGTTGCAAGGCACGTGACTTAATGCTCGTCTCAAGCTCAGAATTTGACATTTGCATTTTACACTTAGTTCATGCGTTGTCTCAATACGCTGTATTCATACGTGAATTTGTTCAACGAAAAGTTTGGTCTATACTTGTACTGCATGAAAAATGGAGGAGCAAGATGTAGTGCCAAAGAAAAGGAATCATCGTCGATAGACATGCAACAGCGATGCTACGATGAACTGTCTTTTAAAATAATAGCCTTTTCGTTACCTTATTTCATACTTTGCTTAAATAGCATTTGTCATTCTAAAGAATGCCTAGGGAAAGTATATAATAATTCTTATATCTCATACTTTGCCCAAAAAGGCCGGTAACATATAAACTAACACAGGAACTTTTAATATCATGTTTTATAAGAAATAGTTAACTCATAAGACAGTTATCTTAGTGAACTGTCATTATGTTTTACAAGACATAAAATATTTATGTAAGATTCATCATACAAGCGATTTAACTAAATTAACTATCTAAGAATTAGTTTTCTAATTAAGATAAATATTTTGGGTATTAAGGTAATATATCACCTTCGGTCCACTTGTTGGCGTGAAATATACCGTTGATCAGCGATTTTTATTACGTTTCACTGTATTTTTAATATTACATTTAGAAGGAAACCTAGTAAGAGACTGTGTATGTCTACTGTGTATAAGTACTATCATAAAATTTAGTTGTGCGAATTGTTCTTGATAAAATTGTTTACAAATATTTTTTCTCTTTACATATTTTAAGAAAAGTCGCCTAAGTTTTCACCGATGAGGTAATACAAGTTATACCTCCTATCCTACGGCAGACAATTTCCCAGAAAATACCGTGTTGTATGAAACCGTGTTATACGAAATATTACAAAACAGAGCGACACTTTCAAAAAATTCTTGGAAACAATATATATATAATTTATTTACTAAAGAAATATTGATTATATTATCTCCTAAGATTAATTTTAGTAGAATTATCTAAAAAGAGGGAATCCTTAGTTAGTAAGTTTAATTCCAAAAATTGTTTTAAAGTAACTTGAATGTAAATTGTTAAAAATGTTTAACGGGGACTTGAATTAAATCATGAATAACAAAATTTCAATTGTAAAAAGAAATCAAATTAAAAGCAAGTAATTAAATTAAAAGCAAGTAATTAAATTAAAAGCAAGTAATTAAATTAAAAGCAAGTAATCATTGCCATTGATCGGAACTTAATTGACTTTTCAAAGGGAACAAACCAACTCCCGTTCAATGAACAATAATTAAGAAATAAATACGAAGGTGTTTCGTCCTTTACTCGAGTAATAAGGCGATGCCAAACTGGCAATTTAAGTTAGGCCAAATATTTCCGTGAATTGAAGGGATCAAGAACCAATGCAGAGCACCAAAGAACTCATTCTGATTAAGCATTTTCGCTAATTCAATTTTGAGTGAAAAGCAATTTACGCAGTAAAATTTATAAATTACTCGAGTAATTGTCCCCTTATTAAGATATATATATATATATTTTCTCCTTTTAACAAACAATTAAAAATCTGTATTTTCATTTCCAAACAAGAAATAAATTTTCCTTTGAGTTGTTTTCTTACTTTCAGACAAAGCTTGGGACTAAAGTATAACTTCGCAATAGTTGCGCCTAGGAATGACAAAATGTTTTTAATGTTATAACATTATAGTATTATACAGTTATAATATATATCTCTCTTATATAACAGAGCGAAACCTTGTTATAAGAGGAATATCTGCACATAAATATGGTATTTGGTGGAAAATAGGCTTTCGACAGATGGATTAGATATAATTTAAATGAATAATTTAGAGATATTATCTTCTTCAAAATCCTGTAAAGGAAATTTTTCCACTCCTTTTCCATTGCTTTATGGGAAGACCTTTCCCTTTCAGATAAGATCTGTACCATTCGATTATATTTTATATCATGTCCTCTAACATAATGCTGGCTTTGTGTAACCAGTTGTAAGGCAACCCTTTGAAGAATGCCATGTCAACATTCCACATTTCCCTGCTGAAAGCGCCGTTAAGATCTTTCTGGACGTGTCTTGAGACTTTGTCGCAGACCATTTCTCTTAAAGCTTTCTCCTTTGTGTCTTCGCAAAAACTGCATAAATTATAATCGTTGCAACAGTCGTGCCACATGCAATGGGTCTGATGATGAGGATTGATGCTGGTATGTCTGCTGACGCACAAGTTCCAGAGCCTCGTGTTGACGTTATCTTCGAATCTTTCCGAATAGCCCACCAGCATAACTGGGTCGATTTTGTCGATATCGTGAAGCTCAGAAGAAAACTGGCTGAGAGCTTTCACGGGCTGTCCTTTCGAAGTCATCACCGATGCCACAGAGTAAAAGCAATTGATATGCTCCACGAAATCTTCGAGAGCATCCAGCATTTTGAGATTTCTGAGTTGCTGACTGTAGACACCATCTCTTTGATCTGCTATTTCTTTGCAAACGCCGAGGACCGTTTCTACCCAAAGAGTTTCATTCTGTACCCACTGTTGGGCAATTTGTCTTCTGTGTTTGAAAATGGTGGCATCTGTGTAAAGAATGGCGTCTTTGTCTATGCTTTCCAGTAGTATGTCGGTCGGGAAGTTGCATTTCCAAGACATAGACTGCACTTTGTTCTTAAAATGGCGCCAGAAATTTTGGTCATTGAAAATGGTTGTCGGAGGCATTTGGTCTCCTCTGGTAGAATCTTGACCTAATAATGAAACACACAAAAATATATGAGATTACAAGGAAAGACAGAAAAAGGAATTTAAACGCGTATCGAATTGTTATAACAGAAAAAATATTTATTTGACAATCTTTTTTAATTTATCTGCTTCTATTATCAGACGATTTCCACTTCAGGTTAAAAGAATTGCTTGATATTACTTCATTCTATAATTATTATATTATTATCCCAAAATTTTGCTAAATACGCAGAGTTCCACAGGGGCGTAGCTAGAGTTTCGAGCGCCCGAGGACAACTGAAGAATTTGCGCCCCTTTCTGTATGCCAAGAATGGAAAACATTTCATTAAAAAATTTCGTGGCATCAATTTGGCGCCCCTTGGATGCTGCGCCCGGGGACAGATGTCCCCCGTTGCCCCACCCTAGCTACGCCACTGGAGTTCCAAATGTGCCGTAACGCACCGGAGCCCTAAATAAAATAGCTTATTTTATATTATTCAGCCACGAATTCATGAGAATTTTTCTTATCTCAAAAATTTTATTTTAATAAGTAAGCTCTGAAAATAGATTCTAACATTAGAATGCACGCCTTTCTTTGTAAGGATCCTAAGTTTTACTAACATTTATTTTATTTTAAAACTGTACTATCACTTCTTATTTTCTACTTCCGGCCAGAATTTAATGCTTTAACTTGTTTATGCAAATTGTCTTGCAAACACCCAGGTATTTAAGTTGTGGCTTTTTGCCAAGAGAGAGAAAGGAGATTTAAGAAGCGAGCCGCTTGCCACTGTATTCTTACGAGTTTTCAATCGGTTGCTGTTTGCCTTCAAGGCCTGAGATTTCGCCCTCTTGATATTTGAAAACGTATTGTAGTTTCAGCAGTTTGGCGTACTACATACGTACCCTTTTAAATAAAGGTCAGTCTTAGTGCTAGGCATTTGTATACTAATTCAAAGTTAACTTTTATTAGAGTTTTAGTTAGTAGTTTTATATTTTTACGTTCAGACCACAAGTGGTTGGTCTCTGTATCCCGAAATACGGGAGTACCTGTAAAGTAATAGAGAATAAAGGGTTTAGTATATCCTTCCTGCTTGTGTCGTCTATTCCACACAATCTGGAACAGAGCTTTAGTAAGTTCCCCGTTCTTATTCAGATACAGTATTTCCCGAAGCAAATGAAAAGACATGCATCTCCTGACATCTTTTCTTGGTCCAACGCTAGTAACTTCCCACAGAAAAAAATACATGGAGACTTTTAGCAATGATGTAACCAAATACGGGGACAAAAACTGTGACTTTCGTTCGTTCTCATCTACAGATGAAACCTCGGATTCGAGGGGGTGGAATTTTACTCCTCTGTCACATAATGCTTGACAAATAGAATTCTATAGGCAGGGAATCGTAGTCATAAAGTGTTGGAATTTTCTGTCTTTGTTTTCGTACCTGCACATCCTCGTTAAAATTCTCTTTCAAATCTCATACTATGCTTTATATTCTCATTAGTGATGCTTTACCTTTTTATATTGGTGTGCTGGGAAAAAATGGTCTTTGTTTGTACTATTCTTTGAGATAGTACATTATTATAAATTTAAGTTCATCCGGAGGACGGCCGAGTTTTGGAGCGAAATTGTATCTTAAACTGGAGCCCGAAAGTAAGACGAAGTCCTATATTCTATATTATTGACTATTTATAATTAATTTAATTCTTTATATTTTCATGAATGTTAATTATTAATTATTAGAACAAAGGGAGAATTTGCCGAGAAAGACTATAATTAGAAGGACTTTGCATTTTGCGTTAATTCGCTATAAACGGCGAATCACTTTTTAAATTGTTGCCACCAAATGTTAGAGACCTGTATTATATTTAAAGAAATTAACTAATGAAGATTCTGCATAAATGTACGCATGTGTTCTCGCATTGTGATAAAACAACGGTATCTACAGCCACCAAATTTTGAATAACGTACGTCTCCACTCGAATATGGGCATCTGGAAGACCAAATTTGGAATTCGTTTTATTATCTATTTCATATTTTGTAAAGCATTTGTCAGTTTTTGATTAAAAAACTCAACGATTTCAAAGCGAACAATGGCAACCTTGTACGGAAAAAAAAAAAAAAAAATTACTGTCCAGCGCGCGAAAGTGTGTATCGGAAATTCTAAAGATATACTATTTTGAATGTTTTCTGATATTGTTGTTGAATTGAATTTTATGGTTTAAGTGCGAAGAACGTGGCATTTAGTAAATAAAGGTAACACACAAAACGTTAAAAAAAACGCCTCTTTGGAAGTAATATAAAATCAGAATGTTTTCAGATTTTTTTTATTATTATTATTCCTATATTTTTTATATTTTTGTACCGTACATATCCTATTTTCGAAAGTTTACGAATCCTGTTTATCTTCTTTGTTTCTATTATTAGTCCAAAGAGGCTTTGTCCCTGAGGAACTATTGTTTTCGTTTTGCGATTTTGCGTCGAATCACTCTGAATGTCCATATCACTTTTCAAACTGTTGCCACCAAATATTATCACCCTGTATTATATTTGAAGAAATTACATAAGGAAGAATCTGCATAAATATTATGTATGTTTCTCGGATTGTGATAAAACAACGGTACCTAGAGCCATCGAATTTTGAATGACGTAATCTTACTGCGAATATTGCCATCTGGAAGCCCAAATTTGAAATTTGGAATTTGTTTTATTATCGACTTCATACACTCTTTTGCCAAAAAATCGAAGCACCAAGAAGGACTTTTGCGACCGTGACGAAATTTGGTATGGAAAAACACCTTGATCGAACATGCAAATAATCAAAGTTTCAAGGCAAATAAACAGGAATTGCGATCATAGCGCGCATTTCTAGCGAGCAATTCGAAAAGTATAAAACCAGTGACAGATGCGGAAAATTTATCTTTTTTTGTTGCTGCCATTATAATTCCGTAAAGGAGCTAAAGATGTCATTACGACGATATCGAAAACCTTACAGACAACTAAACGACTTCGAACGTGGTCGCATTGTACGCTTGCGTGAAGCTGGGGTAATCATACCGAACAATAGGCCTCCACCTGCAGCGTACAGACATTGCTGTGCAAAGATATTGGCAGCAATGGTTGCTACAATCAAATTGCCGACGAAATAATGGCTCTGGAACAAATGTGAGGCAAGATAGGATGATTGTTCACCAGGCCCGAACCGCTTCAACGGTATCATTGTCGACTATTCAACGCTCTACAGCCACGTCTTTACCTCCGGTGGTACCGTCCACCATCTCACGGCGCTTGTCTGAGGCGGGGTTACGCTCACAGAGGCCTTTTCAGACGTTTGCCTTTGACCCCACAACATCGGCGGAGTCGTCTGGAGTGGTGTCGCAGCCGATCATCATGGCTGCCATCAGACTGGCATCGTACAGTGTTCAGTGATGAATCCCGCTTCCCTCTTGAAGCAGATGACCACCGTGCTCGTGTGTGGAGAAGACGGGGCCAGCGGTTCCAATCAGCCTTTGTTTTACAAAGGCATACAGCCATAACCCCTGCTGAGGTCGTGTAGGGAGCTATTTCTTATGACAGCAGGTCATCTTTAGTCATCCTCCATACATCTTTAACAGGTCAACGATATGTTGATAACATCTTGCGGCCGTTTGCATTACCCTTCATGGCACGTTATCCTGGGGCCATTTTTCAACAAGATAATGCGAGGCCACATACCGCTCGCATATATCTGGACTGCCTCCGTGCGGTTAATACTCTTCCTTGACCAGCAAGACCACCAGACCTTCCACCAATCGAGCATTTCTGGGGCATGGTATGCTGCCAGATTGGAGCACCACAAAATATCGCAGATCTGGAGCGACAACTGATGAATGCCTGGCAGAATGTATCGCAAGAAGACATTAGGAACCTCTACCACTCCTTGCCTCGACGAATTCAAGCATGCATTGCCGCCAGGGGCGGTTCGACTAACTACTAATTTGAATACTCAGTGGCTGACTGGGAGCCGTGAACAGGTACTATGACCTTGATTTTTTAATCATTTTATCATTTGTGTATGAGCTATACACATATTCAATTTCATCAAAAACAACCACTTCCTTCATGGTGCTTTAATTTTTTTTTCAAAAGAATGTATTTTGTAAAACTTTAACGAATTTTAAATTAACAAACTCTAGGATGTCAAAGCAAGCAATGCAGCGTTGTATAGAAAGAACATTTTTATCTCCAGCGCGTGTGTATAGGAAATTCCTGTGTATCGAAAATTCTAAAAATATGCTCAATTTAAAATTATTTTGCAATATTGCTCTTGAACTAAATTTTATGGTTTAAGTTCGAAGAACATGATATTTAATAAATAAAGGTAACACACAAAATGATAAAAAAACGCCCCTTTGGACTAATTAAAATCTGAAACCTTTCCAGATTTATTATGTATATATATTTTTTATTTCTCTTTTCTGACGGCCTTCCATAAGGCTCCAGAACTACTAACTTTCGAAGTTAAGCCTTACATATATGGTGTTTAGTTATTGGGTATTGCACAAGTAGTAATAGTAGTTGCTCCTGTTTACCGATATGGGAAACAAACCGGATTCTTAGCTATCTCCAAGGAGTATATCCACATCCCAGTTAAGGACGGATGGGCAGTTAAATGTGTAGTTTGCAATGCTCTTAAATAGCTGGTTGAAAATATTACTAAGTTCTACAAATATACATTATATACATATGTACATGATTATACAAATTACATTGTTGAATGGCAGGCCCGCCGATTAATGTCTTCAGTCGTATATTGTTATCGAATGGCCGTTTCTGTACAAAACATAGAAAATACGTAGCTTGTTGTGATCAACAACTTCGTTAATGTGATCAAAATATTGCAGAATAAATTTTTTAAACTGAAGTAAAGTAGCCAAATGTGTTTAAAATGCATTATATAGATTGTCAAGCTGTATGGAAATGTTGTCAAGAAGCGGATTAAGTAGCCAAGCATTTTGATTTTTAATTAGTCAAGCATTTAAATAAATGGATGACAGAAATCGAAACTACGCTATTTGCTGGATTAACTCCTCATTTAATGGCATTTCTCTGTCACTTGGAAATTTTATAATCTATTTTAACCTTATTTGGCGACTTTACTGCAGTTTAAAAAATTTAATCTATAACATTTTGATCCTATTAGCTGAATAGCTGATCACAAAAAGTGATATATTTTCCATGTGTTCGTATACAAATGAGCGGAACTTCGGCAAACCGATAACAATATCCGAATGACAATATTAATCATGATCATATTAAGTGTCGTCTTCTGTAAACAGAAATGTGCTCAATAAACTAAGAGATAAATAAATAAACAAAAACAAACAAAAAAAAAATCTGGTGTGGACACCACTTGACTTGTATGGCCTATTAAATTATACAAATTTTTTGCTGCACTTTATTTACACTTATTTCCTCGAATTTCATTGCAGATGCATTTCTCATTCAATCAATCCAGTTCTCACCTCACGGCCAAGGCAGAAATATATAAAAACTCAAAACGTCTTTATTAAAAATTGTAAAATACAGAAAAATCTAAAAACCAAATACACTTAAAAACAATTTTTACAATTAAAATTAGAGTTTCTACGACAAAACAAGCAATTCGGTCAACGACAAGAAGACCAAATTTTCGGTGCACAAAATTGAGTTACTTTTGGTTCCATTCGGCAAAAAACATTGCAATTGGTGTACCAGCTGACTTAATTTACTATTCTACGAACAGCTCCAAATGTAAACAAATGTCAACCTCGTTAGGCTCTTAAACAACTTTTAAATTGTTGATAATTCTGCAACCATTGCATAAAGATTAACTAAAGGCATAAAAACCTTAACCGGAAGATTAAAAACAACACAATTCACTCATTTTTAAAGCAAAAAAGGCACAATTTACCAACATATAAGAATAAAATAACTGAGCTCATGAAGCCAAGTAATAAAGAGGTATAGATATATGGTATATCTTTAATTAAATATATATAATTAAAGAAGGAGAAAAACACTAAAAAAGACCTTTGTGGTCAAGTACTTTGCGCATTGAGCTGCAAATTTAGAAACCAAGTTAAAAGAAAGTTCTTAGTGCTTTCGGTAAAAGTAGCTTAGATACTGTGGTTCCGGTGAAAAATTTTTAACATACCTAAAATAAAGTCCATGAAAAGTGTAAACATTAAATAAACAATATTATCACTAGAATATTACAATAAAATTCAAATCTAATTGTAATAATATGTTGATCAGGTAAGGCAAACTTTAATAAAAGTGTGACATAAGACTATGCAAAAATACAAAAAAAAAAACAAAAAGCGGTAAATGGTAGATTAGCCGAATTCAAATCTCATTACCGACTCTTCAGGGGAAATTTTATAATGATTTTCAAATCCAGCTAATTCCATATCGCGTTTCGTCGAAACAGACAATTGAAAGTGTATACGAAACTCTTTTTGAATATTAACTGAAAAAAATTTAGTCAAAAACTTTAGTCTCAATTCTCTGTTCCATTTCCCGACGCGTCCGCTTGAAAAAACACATTAAGGTGTAAGAAAAAACTATACATAATGGCCTGCTTAGGCATATGTACAAAATAAAATAAATAGCGATTTGCTATTAGTCAAAAATACAAGATTTTTAGGGAGGACCTACTAGCTTATAGAGGCTACTAGCTTTAAACTTTGTGAACTTAGTTAAAAAATTAAATTAAAAATTTTTAATTAAAATAAAAAGCGAAGAAGACCATAAAAAATTGAATGGGTTTTGCTATGACCAAAACTCAATACAAGGAAAAGAATTCAAAAAAAAAAAAAAAAAAAAAAAAAAAAAGAAAAAAAAAAGAAAAAAAAAAAAAAAAGAAAAGAAAAGAAACAGACCTGGAACGGCAACGTCTTCGTACTGGACCCATGTCAGCTCAAAAGGACGATCAAGGATCAAGGAAGTTAATTTACGGAGTGCGCTAGGCTAGACCTTTAACTCCACATCACCAGAGATAAAATAATTACATCAAAAGATGGGTTCATCTAATACGCGAAAAAATTTGACAGCCTAATTATAACTAAAAAAAAAAAAGCTTTTCAGATAATGCCTTCCGCATGAGAAAAAAGGCAAAAACTCTTAGAAAGTCTTTAAATTAAAATTTCGTGTCTAAAACGGGCCAGGAATTCAATTTTGAGAGAGGCAGTCTTCATTCAAAAAAGTTTTGAATAGAATAAAAAGGTGCAATACATTTCTTTGATTCTTGATATCAACAGCAAAATAAAATCCTTAGGACAAACAATCCGGAGAGTTGTCAAAAGGACGATTGCCTCGAGAAAGGAAGTAGCCAATCAACTAGGCAGGATGACGTAAAAGGAAAAGAAACGTCATGATGAAAAAGCCAATGAAAAGTGACTGACCGTAGTCGTAAACCTGACTCAGTGTGAGGGGGGGTGGCAATTTGCTGAAGAATGATGAAATTGTTCAAGATGGCGTCTTGCTTGACGAGTTTTAAGAAGTTGGGTGTAGGCGAAAGAAAAATGGCTAATTCTACAAAATGATAAAAAATGGCCAACGAAAGTAAGAATAAATTAGAAAAAATACTAAATTGTTAATTAAAGTCGTAATTCTTCGAACTAGAGGGTTATCAATCTACTTGAAACAAAATGGCCCATAAAATCAATAACAAGGTAGGTATGGCCAGAGAAAGCTTAAAATCTATTCAAGAATAGAATTAGAAGTACTGTGCCAAATTTGAAGAGTAAAATTGAAGCTGTGAGAGGAATTAATTTTACATTTATACATTAGATTCTCTGAATCACCCATCCACTTTACACCGTCCCATAGGGCTTTAAGTATAAAATTTCATTACCTAACTCAAGAATTATCTAAAAGAAAAAGTTAATGCCAGCTTTTTTTTTAACGTATTTTATAAATACTTTTTGTAGGAATTAGGTTGTTCTGCAAGATAGTTACAAAGTAGACTATTTCTTCTTGGAGGTGTTTTGTAGTATTACAGATTCTTTTAATTCTAAGCAGTTGTGCGTTAATTGTATTGATTATGACCCTTTCTGAAATATTGGAATTCCAGTTAGTTAATTTAAGTGTAGGAAAGTTGAAATCTCTTCGTTTATCGTAGATTTTCAAAAAATTGTAATCTAGAATATGCAAATCAAGATAAACTATATCATTTTGCACCGTATTAGTAGTATTAAGTTGGAGGCAAGAAGGGTAGATATTAGCTTTTTCCATTTTGTTGAAGGCAATTACATCATCAATATAACGAAAGATGTGTTGGTAATATTTTTGATCTTCAATATTTAGTGAACGTACAAAAGTAAATTCTTGTGTGAAAAGGAATAATTCACAGAATTGCTGTTGAAAAGTTTGCCGCCCATAGGTATTCCCCTGTATTTGCTTAAAGATGTTGCATGTTGTTATTAAATTGAATATAATTGTTGAAAAGAAGGCTTGAAAGGAAAAATTTGCCAATTCTTCAGTAGATAATATTGTAGTAATTCTTGAGGAAATAAATTAGGAAAGAGTAAGCAAGCTGCTATGAATTTTCTTCAAGTGGTGAAAGTAGTATAAGAGATTCTCAAAAGTCGTAGCATTGGATATGTTCTATTTTAAATGAATTTAAGGTCTTAAGAATTTGTTCGTTGCTTGAATATCATCCAAGTTGCAATGTTGATCTTTAAAATCATAATTATTGATTACGATAACATTTCGAATGAGTTGAAGTTTTTGCGCAAAAGAGATAATCTATTCTCCTTTAAATCACTTCTGGTACTGTTGGCTATGTATCTGAATTTAACAGGAGTCTTATGAAATTTTGGAAGTGCATAGAGATTTAGCAAAGATCTGTTATTAAATTTGTTGGGACGGATTTTAAGTCTTTTCACGAAGTGCATTAAATTATATTGAAAAGTATTCTTAGTGCTTAGTAGAGACTTTTTGATAGGTGCAAGTGCTATGTCATTCCTTATGCAGAGTGTCGTAATATATAATTTTTTTTTTTTTTTTTTTTTTTTTCAAATGACACTGAAATTGTTACTAGCTTTGTCAATCTTTGTGATGATAAAGTTTTCTTGTAGTTTATGAATATGAGATTCTAGATGACTTTTATTGTGGATATGATTGAAACTAGGCAACTTGAAAAGCGTAAGTTAAAATCTTTAACAAGAGCTGCTTTCCATTCAAGAAATGTAGTCGTAGGCAAGTTGATGCTATTACTAGCCAAAATAATGAATTTATCAAGATCATTGCTGAACTGTTTTAAGCAAAAGTGTTTATTAAGACTGAAAGTCGGGCGAAATTTGGTTTCTCGCAGTTGCACATCTTCATTGATATTGAGATCTCCTGTGATAATATGTTGGCGAACGAATCTACAAATTTATTGTAAACAGGAACCTGGCAATTTCATATGCTATCATCTATTACATTGTGGTGGTTAATTATCATGTTACCTAAAGTTTTTTCAAATTTAAAACAGGGTTTAACCTGAAGTCGTTGGTCAAGGAGCAATTGTTGACATTTTTTGAACATGCAGGGAATTTTTAACTGATCGTAATAAGGATGCTTGAACAGTAAAAAAAAAAAAAAAAAAATTGCGATAAAAATTACTATTCTTTAATTTAAAATTGCAAAAGTCTATTATTAGGTCTTTGACTATTTGGTTACATTGAGATTGTTGATTAAGTCTTTGGATAAGATCCCACAAGGTAACATTTTTAAAAGTATGCAGAAGGTTAATAACATTTTTTTGCAAAAGTTTTCTTTCCTAGGAAGGAATTAAGATTTTGAATAATTAATTCCAGATCTTGTGTGGAAAATAAAAAAAAAAAATTGTGGTTAGAATTTCCTCCTCTTGTACCTCTGGGAGTTACAGTACTAGTATTTTCCTTTTTAAACTTTAATTCTTAAATGCTAATTTCTAAGCGTACCACTTTATTGGTATTTCTTTTTGAACATTCTTCACTTTTTACTTTTGGTTTTGACTTTTACCCTTGCCTGCATGAATGACGAAACACGAATTGAATGATTGGAGAGTTAGGTTTGGAGGCAACTTCCCCTTGATAAGTCTGTCTCCTGCCTGCTCAACAGTCATTCACTTATGCATTTTTTAAAAAAAATGTATGGATTAATTTTAATTTGCTAAATTAGTGAATTTATTTTCATGGATTGGTTTTGCACTTGATTTGCTTATGCTTCTGAATTTAAATTATATTGTAGATTAGTTCGAGAATTAAATCTTTTATATGTTTACACATTTTTATATATATATATATATATTTCTTTAAATTTGCTTTTTTTAATTTTGGCTTTAAATTTGCTTTTTTAATTTTATACGTGTTTGTTATAATTTAAATTTAATTTGTGTAAATTTATACCCAATATGCTATATATAGCCACTATATATATGTAGGATAGCATCGTCACTAATAATCGGATGACGCGGCAAGCAGTGAAAACAGATATTTTTCTTTTCAATGAGAGAATACAGACGATTCCGCCATTAAGATGGTGACGCAACTGAAAGACGTATGCATGTAAAAGATGGTTACTTCTCTTCATCTGTAAATAATCTCATCTATTTTCTTCTACGCATGTAATCATTTTGTAGTTTGTAGCAACTATTCACGTTTTCATTAAATATTCAAGTTATTTGTAAATTCGGACTAGTTTATTAGACCCTGGACAGCCACCTCGAATGTAAATTCACACATATCATACTCCTAGATAGTAAGTATCGATCCTACAAATATAGCCGATTGTAACCATACGTATGTACGCAAGCACAGAAGCTACGAAAAAGTCTCTTCTGAATCCATTTTAAATCCATTTTACAATCCGTTTTGGAGAAAAGTGTCCTTTATTCTGATCATACGTAGAGATGGCACACAAAAGAATCATTCAAATGAATTCGAGAGCGTTCAAAATGGTTATTTTCGTTGAAATATCATACCCGAAATTCTTCGCGATTGCAATACTTACTTCCGTGCAAGGAAATAAAAGTTAAACGTTTACGTTCCTCAGTTTCTTACTTCTGCAGATGATGAACATATATGTGAGAGACAGCAAATAAAATAGGGAAAATAGTATTAAAGTTAAAATGTAAAATATCGTTCTCCCAACGTAAACAGCAAAAAAATCATTTCAAGGTTTAATTGAAGCAAACAAAAATTAATCTAAATAAAAGTGTGCAAAATATATTGTACCATAAATAAAGTAATCTGATGTGTACACCACATGACTTCCTTCTACGGAATATTAAATTATACGCATTTTTTCCTGTATTTCGTCGACTGATGGTGGCCACCTGACTTTTACTTTCATCTTTTTGTTTTACTGGTGTTTTTCACGTGATACTGAGTAAAAGGAGGCGCTGCTTTCTGAAACTCAAATTCACTATATGTTCTTAGTAGTAGAAACTGACTTAATTCACTTTTCTGCTAAGTTTTAAATGTAAACAAATATGGCTGCTCCGTTAGCCGCAATTAAACAACTTTTAAATTATTGATAGTTCTACAATTATTGCATATAGATTAACTAAAGGCCTAAAACCCTTAACCGGAACATAAGAACAGCATAATTCAATAATTTTTAAAGCAAAAAATGCACAATTTACCAATATATAAGAATAAAAAACTGAGCTCCTCCACTCGAGTAACAAGAGTGGGTATATATATATTATATATATATATTTATATTCTATTGGTGCGGTTTTGTAACCAAAAAGGGAGGTTCACATGTTATAGCAGTCCTAAATACAAAATTTTAACTTTCTGTCTACTCATTTTTGAGTCATGAGAGACACATACATACATGCGTATGTGAAAAAAAAAAAAAAAAAAAAATCTCTTCTGAATCCATTTTACAATCCGTTTTGGGAAAAAGAGTGCTTTATTCTGCCCTTAGTACAGATATCACCGAAAAACATCATTAAATTGCATTCGATAGCGGCCAAAATGGATATTTCCATTGAAACATGATAACCAAAAATTTTCACGATTACAATACTTCCTTTAT